CCCCCCCCCCCCCCCCCCCCCCCCCCCCCCCCCCCCCCCCCCCCCCCCCCCCCCCCCCCCCCCCCCCCCCCCCAACGTACGTCGTCAAGATCGATGTAAGTTCCGCCATAATGCGCCAACACAAAGTAACGAATGGAATCCGCGCGCTGAATCGGGTATTTGTAGCCGTCGAAAGTATCGAGGAACCATGGGTATTCATGGGCGATGAATTCACGAGACTTCTCGTTCGTCCAGAGCTAGAAAGTAAGAGAAAAGAACGCGTTAGCCGAAGCAATTCTTGCAAGAGGGTTGGTCTACATACAATGTATTCGTAGTCCGGGTGCAGGTCGATGCAGCTTTGTTGGGCGTCCTTCCACACCTCGGGGATTGTCTCGTTCTTGTAGGTTTGGTGGATAATTTTGGGAATGACTTGCGGTCGCTGTTCGATCAGACTGGAATTCGGCGAGGGAAGCTCCGCGCGGTGGATTGCATCGGCCGAGGCATCTTCCACGAGCAAGGATAACAGGGTGAAGACGCTGCGGACTAGGAATGACAGGATAAGGAGGTTGACAACAAGGAAGATTAACACGCCTCTCCGCATTGTGAGAGGTATTGTCGAAAGTCGAATTCTGTTTCGATATGGCAATATAAAGAATTGGTAATGGTAGACCAATGTTGGATGTGAACACGAATTGGTGCAATTGAAGCTCGTTGATCTGGCGCAAGTGAGGCGCAACAGATGCGGTGGAACTGCGATTTCCGCTGAAGGACAACACGCGGAAAACGAAGCCTATTCACGAGTTCTCCAAGCACTGGAGATAGGTCTGGCGCGACAACGAAAAAGATGTCAAATGAGATGAGCTTCAGTAAGCAAGAGTCGCAGCCAATCTTGTGTCAATTGTCCGTTTTCCTTTTCTTCTGTCTTTCGGTTTTTTTTCCCCCTGGCTTTTGTTTCTGGGGTAATGAATCCGCACTGGAGCCCTAAGAAAGCAAGCGGGACTCGAGTAGGAAGCAGAACAAGGAAAGAACTGGCGTCAGAAGGTTCGGACCAAAGCAGCACGAGATGGCAATGGACAATAATTTAAGGAATGGACACAACCCTCAAGGATGAGAAAGAGAGGGCGGGGGATATGGGGCGATGAAGAGTCGAGGCGAATGATAATTAAAAGCGACAAGAGAGGAAAAATAGTAATAGCAATTGACGAAAAAGGAATGAAGAGGGTTAGGCGACGTTTTAATCGAAAGAAGAAAAAAAAAGAATTAATCAATGGTGAAAATAAATAAATAAAAAGAGGAGGCAAGAGGGAGCTATCGAGGCAAAGAGAGACCGGGGCCGCGAGAGAAAGAGACAGGTAGAAATTAAGAAGGAACGAACGACGCCTTAGCAACCAAGCAAAGGCATCAACCAAAAAAAAGAGCGGCGGAGATCAGTTGGGGGGGGGAAGGAAAGTAAAAGTTGAGTGAGTGAAAGAACAATAGGAGGTGTAAGAAAAAAAAACGGCGATTAAAAAAAAAAAAAAGAGTATGGAAAAAAGGAAGGAGAAAGGTAGGAGAAACGAAAAGCAGAAGGCGGCGAAGCGTCAACAACGGTCCATGGATTAGACGGGCGACCCGTCACAGGCCAAAGCGATGCAGACTAAAGACAAAGGGCCAAAGGGGAGGGGGAAAGCAGACGAAGGGGTGGGGAGACCGAGGCGCCGTCGTGGGTCCAGGTCAGGACATGTTTGGAGAAGGTTTAGAACGGAGCCAAGGCTAAGCCTCCGCCACTACGACAGCCAGTCACTGGGCCGCAGTAGTTTATTAGCCGAGTCCCCGCTAGCCCTCTTTGGGCGGAGTCGTCGCATTCCACAGCATCGAGTACCTAGGAGTAGTACCTACTACTCCTAGGTACAGGTACTACTCCTAGGTACAGTGGATGACACCAAGGTCAAGTGGTCTGGTCAGCTTACCTTCCGTCTGGAATACGGAGGGGATGATGCTCGACCTGGCGGTTGATAATTCCAGCCTCTCCCTGTGGCGCTTTCCATCTCCGCTGATCCAGGAAAGGATAAGCGTGATTGGCACTGATAGCGTGGGGCCAAGGTTAAAAAAAATCAAAAGGAAAAAAAATATAATAATAATAATGTTTAATAATAATTCACCAGCATCCACCATCCCCATCCCCCTTAAAAAGGTCCCGAGCTAAGATGAAAACAGATAAAAAGTGGCTACCGATCCATACCGTAGAAGGGAGATTACGCAGTTCGACTTCGACGTCCCCTCTGCCCTCGCGATCTCTACCAATTATGGACGTTTGGTACTCATCCACGGGCGTGGATACAAGATCCATGTTCTCATCGTGCACTCACGGCTCTGGTTTTGATGTTGCCTGATTTGAATTGCATCGGCCGAATCATCGCCTTGCCACTAACGATGTATGAGATGTACAGAGTACGGAGTATGTAGGAGTAGTCTGTACCTTCGGAGAGTATGAGTATGAGTAGGTATGTTTGTGGATAAAGATGATCGGTCGTTTCAATAATTGGAATTGTTGGGAAAAACTAGCTTAATCTTAATATCACCACCCCTGAGGAATCGACGAAGTAGTAAAGTACAGACTACCAGGTACTAAATACTACAAACTACTCCGTTGAGTAGTTTAGTATCTGCTAATTAAGAACGGGGGAGTTTTAGTCCCGACCCCAGGGCCGTTTTCAGGGTGACGCTCGACGGTTTATTGGACTGCTCGTATTTGGGGCCCGTACCAAGAAATCCTAGGGCGCTTTTCTTGAGCGTGTCGCCGTCGCTGGCACTGCTCGTAATCGTACATCTCATGGAAGTCCCCATACTTGGTTGAGACATGAAACGGACAAGGAGTCCCCTTCGAACTTTCTGGACCGCCTGTAATTTTACCGGTCGGGGATGTGCCTGTACGATTGTACGAGAGGTCCACGGGTGCGAGGTACAACTGGAAGTACAGTACAGTAGTACTTCTCCTCCAGGCGTATCAGTTAATAATAAAATGATCATAGTTAGCAGAAGAATCTATTTGTGTGGAGTTTTTGCAGTAACCCAACGGGGTAACTACAACGGGAGTCCTTCATTCATGCCAACCCTCCGATTTGCTCGGCACGCAGTTGATTGCCTCAGGCAGAAGAGCACCCAAGGCCGAAAGGTAGGTCTACACATCTACCACCCGGTATCTCCAACCTTGAATGGCACTGCATTTGCTACGGGCAATTCGAGTTGCAACCACGGGCACCAACCACGGGTGTGGGTAGCCAGAGCCAAGAGCCGCTAGCTTTTAAAGGTTGACCCTCAACTGTAAAGTTCAACCTGAACCGAGGGTGCAGGTTTTGTTTCTTTATCTGTTCCACGAGAGATCAGATCCCCGATGTCCGAGTGGGAGTGGGCCGTGGGGACAGCGTCAACGGGGCGTGTTCATGTCGGATGAAACCAAAATAACTGACGTTTCATGCATGTCTGGATGCCTTCTTACTCCGTACATTCTTTTTTCGGCCTCGCAAAAAGAAGACCAAAAGAGGAAGGCCAGGCACATGGCGACCCACCACGGAGGTCCAATCACCGAGTGCCGACGAGGGAGACCCACCCGGATGGCTGTGCAAGCTATGCAGCTTCCATGCAGTGCCATCTGCGTCGCGAGGCAGCAGAATAATGATAAGAGGTGGCCAGTGAGGACCGATCCACTCGTCTTCGTCTTCGCCTCGAGCGCTTTCTTCCAGCGAACCATTCTGTCGGTCTGAGTGCTCAGATGATAATACCACTAGCAGTGGCTGAACTCCCGTTGACGTCAAACTGCCGCGTGTGATCCCTTTGCACCAGCCATGCTCGTGGGTCCGTGGACTTCTGCTTACTCCGTATTGTACAGCTTACCATTGCCCATCCCCACAACTCAAGAGGATATTCTCGGTTCCCAGCCCAGACAGCGGTGATCCCTTTAGCCGAGATTGGGAATTATCAACCAACAAGAAGTGTCCAAACGCCACGCCACGTTGACCATCCCAGAGGTTCGGGCCACGCAGGATGATGTATGCCGTTGCAAGTGCTCACTATTCGAGCACGCGATTCGGGGAGAGATTAGCGGAGTGCAAGGCAATTAAAATCCCACGCCACCCTTTTCTCGATATATTGAGTGCAGTCTACACTACAGCGCCTACAGTTAGATCCAAGCCCAGTGGCGCCTAACTACGCGTCCCTGCGATCAACGATCGATCATCCGGATGTTGGGGGTGACGTCGCATCAACGGAGCCCTGGCAGTCCGACTCTCGCCGGGGTACTGAGAAGGCTGACTACCGACTGATCGTCATAGAAACAGGCATCATACTGTCGAAGGATGCGAACATTTGGCCTAGGCCGAAGAAAGAAATTCAGAGGGCTGAATCGATATCCACCCGTGCTTCGATACAATGAAACGATTGGTCTATTTGAATCATAAATAGAATTAAGGTAGAACGGGCTTTAGCGGTCGTGCGCTCGCTCGGTGGTCTTATGACATGTGCTGAAAGTAGAATTGGCCCGAAGATAATCCTTCCTTCTATGTTCTTCCTCTATTCGTCTATTGCAGCGCGCAATGGCTTTGGAGCCTAAGTCCTTCCAAATCTGAGCAACCCGGCTTCTTCCAACCGCTAATGAATCAGCGACCCTCCCCACAAGGAATCACAATCTTGTGGGCTGAGTCGAACCACGCTTTTCTTGTCTTTCACAATCCTTCCCCGTGGAAAGCAAGACCACGCAGTCAGGTCTAACCATGGAATATGTCAGACTTTCAATGTAGGCCGATCTTTGAGTCCACGTGCTTAGGACGCTAGATCGCATATGCCTGTTCTGTTCTGTTCCAAATCCGAGAACCTCTGGTTGATGTGCATGTGTTGTGAGAAAAAGAAATAAGGGGGGTTCCTTAAGTCGTGTGCGCGGAGTTACGCTTCCGACATGACTGACTGACACGAGGTAGATAGATGTAAGGGGGCGGAGTAAGGTTGATGCAGGGGAAATAAAATTCATCGAACTTCCGGGGCCGCCGCAGCCGCCAGATCACGGTTGAAGTTCGCCGTGTCGGTTCCTCGCGCATCACCGGCGCCCGCCCTGGAGTCAAAAAAGCGCATCCACCACCCGGGGGGATCGAGGGGACGATGACCGCCGTGGAGGGAGGGGTAGACGTCATTGAAGAAGTACCAGACATGGCCGACAACCACCCCGCAGATCTCGTCCTTGGGCACAATGCCGTGGACGACCAGGCTAAATGCCATCAATACCCAGGGGAGATACGGGGCGGTGAAGACCAGCATGCCCAAGAAGCTAAGACGAGTATCGGGGTTCCGACGACTCCATATATAGACCAGGCTCGAGGACAGCGCGGTACCGAGGAACGGGAGGGACAAGAACGGCGACAGCAGGAGCAACGAGGTCATGGCGTAGAAGAGCAACCACGAGAAGTGGGCCGGAGAGCGACCGGACGTCTCCTCCAGCAGGCGCGAATACCGCTGCAGGAAGAAGACGTGGAAGAGTAAGTCCAGATTCAGCGGGCCGAAGTATAGAAAGGTGGTGAGTAGTCGCCAATACTGTCGGATGATTAGCTTTGTCCTGCCTTCCTTCTGTCCCGTCATTCACGGAAGCTTAAGTGAGACATACCTGAGATTTGACGTAGACGGCGCGAAAGCTGTAGAACAGCTGGAAAGGAGTCAGGATATGGCACTGCACCAAGACAGACGTAGCCACTGTCGCCACGGTCCACCATCGAGTCACGGGAGGCATCTCGTAGAACCATTGCTCCAGGGGGAGTTGCCCGGCCTGCCCCCCATTACCCCAGATGGCGGCCATTCCGTCGGTATCTAAGAGATGTAGATAGGAGCTGCGACCCGCCAAACAGACGACGATCAATAGAACCGCTCAAGCAGACGAATGAAGCGGGTGCGGTCGGGTGCGGAGTGGGTAAGCGGATGCGAAACTGGCGTGGGGGGGCGAGACAGACGGTGACTGCGACTTGTTTATATGTCTATCAGCATCCGGAATCTCGAGGCACAAGGGACAAACAAGCCGGAGAAGGAGATGAAGGTGGCCTTTTCCACTTTGGGCCCGACCCCATGTCATGTCCGTCTCACGTGCCCTGACGCGCGCTTCGGCGGAGACACGCGCCACGCGCCACGCGCCCGCCCTCGATATCGCATTGCCCGTCCCAGCCATCTCCAATATCTTTCCCCCCCCTCTCCCCCCTCCCTCCGCTCTCCCCTGGTGGCTCCCTCCAGAGAAGTTTTCGTCTGTATACTGACGGCGCATCGCTAACGGCCCTACCAACTGGAATTGGACGGTCAATTAAATCGCAAAAAAGAAGCATTGTCGATCCGAAGCTCCTTTCTCCACTACTAGCCGGAAATAAACAACAGACTCTTCATCCACCCTCGTTACGTGACAGAGACCCAGACCTAATCTCAAAAAAACCAACTTCGACCCGAGTGAAACCGCCTCTCCGCCTCACTGGTACCGCGATACCAGCTCCCTTTCCATCCAATTGATATCCCACCTCACCCGAACAACCCGTCGCCATGCCCCCCAAGACAGGACGCGGTCGCAAGATAACTTCGGCCACCCGAACACAAGCTAGCTCCAGTCGCGTGGAAAAGGGGAGCCCAGCTGCAGGCCCCTCCGAAGCAGCCGCATCGCCAGTGACCCGAGGCGGGCCCAAATCGAGAGGAGGCAAGCGACAGGCGGCGTCCTCTCGGAAGTCCGATGTCCAACGTGCGTGCTCCCATCCACGCAACTTCCAATTGCGCACTTCCAATATCTCGCGTTCCCCTCAACCAGCATCTTGTATCGGTCCTCAGGAAGTAAATAAGTAACTAACGCATCACCAACCAGCCGGTGACCCCACCCCACATGGCCGCGTCCGTCGCTACAGACCCGGAACGGTCGCCCTGAAGGAAATCCGCAAGTACCAACGCAGCTTCGACCTCCTGATCCAGAAGCTCCCGTTCGCCCGACTAGTGCGTGAGGTCGCACAGGAGGTGCTCCCCGCCGATGTGGGCTCCGAGTTGCGCTGGCAGTCGCATGCCATCCAAGCCGTCCAGGAGGCTGCAGAGGCTTTCATGGTGCATCTTTTCGAAGACACGAACCTATGCGCTATACATGCGAAGCGCGTCACGATCATGCAGAAGGATATTCAACTCGCGAGGAGAATCCGTGGTGTTTGGGGTGGTTTGGGTTAATTCTGCTTTTTCTTGAAACTGACCATGATTATGAAATATGGGAAGTGGACCACGCTGAGAAAGAGAAACGAATAAAGAAAGAAAATAATAAGCAAAAACCACACAACGAACCGAAAAAGGAGGACCACCAGCTATGAAACGCAAAGACATGGGAAAGACTCCCTTTCACAAGAACCCGTTGAAAGTCTCATAACATACTATAATTCCATCAGTTCACTCTGAAACCCCGACTCACTCATACCTGACCCAGGGAGATCTTTGAATCATATGGCTTGTTGATTTGGTGTAATAGGGGTATTGGCGTATTTAGGGAAAGGACGGGGTTCAATTCGATTCAGTTCACAGCAGGAGATATCTGGTTCGAATCTGCTTTTTTTTTTTTTTTTCATTTTCATTGCTCTTGTCTGTTCATATCTCTGTCTGTCTTTCTACTTGCCTGATTGATTGATTGATTGATTGATTTGTTTCCTTTCGTTCGGTTTCTCCCGATGCCATGGCTCGGGGATGGTTAATCTTCTATTTTTGCGTTTTTGTAAGATCAGTCTGATTAGTTATGTGCGCCCTGCTGCTACTATACAGTATACAATGAATGGGAATCGGTCTATTTCAGATGGTGCACAAATGGGTATTGTTTTTCCCGTGGACCGTTTTGGTTTATTGTAAAAAATTGAGTTCTCGAGCTCAACCCACAAGCTATGCATACCTATGCGCAATGGAATATACAGAACATGGGGCAGGGTTTCCATCCAAAGGATTTGTAATTGAAAAACAGACCTACATCCATCGACAAATCAGAGCAAAATACTTATACTAATAGAGACTGCATATCTATTTGTTTATTCCATCCTCAGAACAAATCCTTTACACTAGATACGTGAATCACCTCAGCTACCACTATAATCACAAATATAAATGAAGGATCCGAAAAAGCAGTCTAAAAAGAACCTCCCATTACACCCTTTCCCGAGCCCATTTTCACATGTCATGTAAATATCAATTGCGCCACCCTACACCGTAGACACTAAGATGGTATCATGAACTGAAGCCCTATAGACACACACCAGTACAGGGAAAAGAAAAAGAAAAGAAGAAAAGGGGGAAAGGAGAAGCCAGAAAAAAATCAAAAGGAAGATAGAGCCGATAGAGAGAGCAAAGAAAAAAAAAAAAAAAAAAAAAAAGAAAAGAAAAACAAGAACGAAAAGGCCACGAACCCCATTCATCTATCCCCTCCTTCCACTCAAATCAAGTGGATCTTTTCAAGGCCGACGGTAATCCCATCATCACGCGATGGCCTTCTTCACGGACTCCCTTTGCTTCCTCGTTCTTGCCTTGTCGTTCGAGGGTCTCGGCTAGCATTTCGTCGGTGACGCTGACCCAGAGTCGGTCGTTGGCTTTCTTTGCCATGGCGCGACCAGCACGGGCGCTCTTCTCGGCCTGCTCGCCGACCACACCGCGGAAGTACTTCCAGCTCATGAAGGTGAGCGTCATGCAGGTGATCTGGCTGTTGCTGATAGCCGTGGCGGATTGCAGGGCCTGTTGCAGGAACTGTTTCGTCTGAATGGTAGAGTCGGTTTGAACGGTTGCGCAGACGAGATAGTAAGCGGCTTGGATGTACTTGTTGGGGCTGCCCTTGCAGAATGACTCCACAGTGGACAGGATGGTCGGGAGTTGGAAGTGAGAGGGGTGGGTGGGCTCGCGAATGATAAGAACGGTGTTGAGAGAGGCGAGGATGGCAATGTCGCGACAAGGGTCGTTGCGTGCGGCCTTGCTTGGGAACGATGCAAGGGAGAGGGACGGTGACTGGAAGGATCCAAGAGCGGTCTGCAAATCCCCAGTGGCTTGGGCGATCGTGCCGCCCGCGTACTCTATCAAGCATTGGATTGTGTTGGGAAGACCCTCGCCCAGCTTGTGTGCTTCTTGCCGTAGCTCGTTCAGCGTCTTGCTCGCTAGGTCCCAGTCCGTACGACTACACGCGAGGAATACCTGCTGGAGAAGCAGGTTGCAATACAAGGTTCGGCGCCATTCAACGCGTCTATTGGCGTTGACCATTGACTCGGTGATATCCTGTGGCGATTTGAAACTCCCTATAGATGATGCTCAGTATCTCGTCCAGTCAGACTATGTCGGGCGAAAGATAAAACCAACCTTGAATCATGCGTATTCCTTCTTGGAGGAACTTTTCGGCTTTGCGACCATCGTATGAGTTCTTGCAGCTCAGAGTCACAGAACTGAGGAAATAGCAAAGCGCGTAGAGGTCATGCTGTGGGAGCCAGTTAAAGCTCAAAAGTAGCGTGCCGTTTTGAACCTGAAGAATATCGCCCGTGTCGATAGAAGAGGGGCCCGCCGATTTGCCGTTCAAGGGAATAGAAAATGACCCGTCAGCCCGCCAGTTGGGATCGTTTAACCTCTCATCCATCATGTCTTGCAGGATCTTCAGCTTATGAGAGGATTGGTTGATATCATATTCGAGAAGGCTGCAGCAAATGTCGACCATTTGCACCAGTGTCGTCAATTGTGGTATTTGGCGCAGCTCGTCGTTGAGTTGATGGCTTCGTGCTATGGCCACGGCACGTTGCGCCTGCTCGATGGAGTCGAAACTGGTCCCCTGTTGCAAGTGGGCCAAGGCCTCGATTACGGCTGCCATCGAGGAAACAGCTTTGTCGCCATTGCGATTGGCCATGTTGGCAATCTTATGGAGATGCTGCATTGCCGAGACCGAATCTTGATGGGAAAGAGAAGACAACGAGAGAGACACTCGGAGAAAGCGGAACGCGTACTCCCAGGCAGAATGGCGATACCTTGATCGGTCAGTATACAGTCCAGTCCACAAAAGCTGGGATGCAACTTACGCTTCTACGTCCTGAATCATCCCATCCACGGCTTTAAAGGAAGCTTTCGGGTTGGTCTTGTGCAGCATCCGTGCCAAAAGATGCTGCATACTATACTTGAGGTCTAACATGCGATTCTACATCTCTGTAAGTTTGCTTGAAGTCTAGAATGCGTCAACAGTAAATGCGAAGCGTGACTCACCCGTTCACATAAATCAATCTATCCATGAGCAAAAACATCAGTCAGTAATCTGGTTCAAGAGAAGAAGGGCAAGAAGGTTAGACCAGTTGAACGTACCCCTTTACTCAAAGCGGTCTCTGCCTCAAGGTCGTTTTCCGTCTCTTCAAACAGTATTCGTGAGTACCGAAGTCGAACGAGGGCTTCGACGCGCGGCTGCAACCTCCAATTCTTTTACGATGACCAGGAAAGGTTAGCCGGTGACATGCCATACAAGTCCGAACCTGCAAGAGAGCCAACGAACCTTGAGCACAGCCTCCAGACAAGCGAGACCGGAGGCAACTAATTTATAATATTCATCCACCTCCATCTCACGTCTCATCAATGCGACCGTTGTCCCGTGACCGTGGGCTGCGTTGAGATATTCGTCGGCCATGGCCAGCAACAATACCTGGTAATCTATGGCCGACTTCGCCGGCTTCTGTGCAGGTTGCGAGGCCGCAGGGCGTGACATTTGTTTCTTCGGGGCCGGCTTTTGCTGCATCTTTTGTTGCACGTCCGGCGAGGGAGCCGGAATCAACACCTGAGGAATGGGTTTTGGCGACGGCGCTGGGGGAGTTGCGGCAATAGGGTTAGGTCGGGCTGCTGTCGGGGGGTTGGACGGAGGCTGAGTGGCATTTCCAAACGGTTTACTGGCCTGGCTCTCATTGGGAGCAGCACTAGGAGCGGTTTGGTACGTTGATTGGGGTGTAGCAGCGGCGGAGAGTGCTGGTGAATGGGTGGTTGGTTGGGGTGCAACGGCAGCAGTCGAAAGCGCGGGGGAATGGGTGCTACTGGGAGCGGAAACTGCCGGTTGACCTCCATACTGAGAGGGTGTGCGTGAAGAGAATGAGGATGAGATTGGCGGAAGAGGCTGCTGGAAGATATCGGACGGATTCACATATTGCGGTGGCTGTGACGGCGTTTGTTGCGGTTGCTGCTGCTGCTGCTGCGGAGGCGGTGGTTGCGGCGGCGGTTGGGGTTGAGAGGGAGGCTGTTGGGACTGTTGACCGTATGACTGCGCATAAGGCGAGTATGTCGGGATCATAACCTGGGGATAGACCATAGGCTTGCCATAGGCGTATGGCGACGGTGTTGAGGGGGCATTGTTATACAGTAGCTGCTGCGGTTGAATGGTCTGCTGGTGCGGCGGGAGATTGGGGGGCTGCTGCAGGTACTGCGAGGGATACTGGCCGTTATGTGCTGAATAGTTCATCGCCCCAGGATGCAGATGATGCCCATGAGCCTCTTGCACTCTGCGAGTCCTGGGAATAGAAGAAAAGCACTGGCGTTAGACACGACGAGGTGAATTGTTGCGCTTCGACCATCTGATCATCGCCCTTTTCCGCTTCCGTGTCGGATCGGAGAAACCAGCGGGCGGTCAGTGGATGAGTCAGCGTTGCGTAACTATTCATGCATTATCTATACGGAGCACTACGGAGCATATGCATATAAGACGTGAAGAATGGATGAACAGATATCCTGATGATCACACAACATTACAGTACAGATCCGCCAGAGCCAAATTACCCCCTGTATCAGTCCTATCTCGCAAAACGCAACCCCTCTACCGGAAACGCCGAGCTGAGCCTGTCGCTTAAAGCCATAGTTTATACTTCCATTAGAGTCATCAGTGGTGTCAAATCATATTGATCGAAGCATACAGCTGATTCATCGACTGGTCTTGAATGCCGCCATTGAGGAGATTCATGTCCAGGTTTGGGGCATTGATGTGGGGTGGGTGCTCGCGGACAGTCCACGGACAGAGTTCACTGCAGTTATCCACATCGATCAGGTTCTCCGCAGGATGAATCCGTTGTGCCGCCCACGTCTGATCGGGGATGGAAGATGCGCCCCCGAGACATCGTTCGGTCCAGAAATAGTATGTAGCTTGCTCAGACCCCTGATCGATCCGTAGCGGTTGTTTGCGAGGGCATTTTAGGGTGGAATTGCAGGTGTTGCAGACAGAGATTCGTTTGCATGAGGTACAGAAGCTGTCGTACTGGCGACAAATAGTGGTCTGGCAGACGCTGGACAGCCACAAGTCGACGGATCGATGGGCGCATCCAAACCGCGGCGTCATGTATTCTTCTTTGCCAAGCTGCCCGGACCCCGTAGATAAATGATATTCGGTTTTAATCATGAGTTGATCCGCCTCGCCCAGCTCGGGGAATATGTCGACTTTCAACTGCGTCGTGCCGTAATTCTCAGTGCAAGAGTGCCAGCAGAAGCGCTGTTGGACCCCGGTTCCGAACTGGGCTTCTAAGATTGCCACCGAATTCCGGCGCATTTTGAGCAGATTGATTAGGTCTAACTTGTCGGCGAAAGTCAGCTTCTTGCATGGGCACAGGTCGACGATGCCGCCAAGAGAGCCTAGGTTGCAAGCTCTCTCCTCGGGCTTTCTCTTCAGCTCTCTCGACGGAAACGAGCTCCGCGGATGAAGCTTCAGACATTTGGAACAGGCGCGCCATTTGCTGGTTTCGAGCAGGTTGACGAACTGCCAACGCGGTGTCACAAAGTTATGTCCATTTCGGTAGTGGTGGAACAACGGCGCGAAGTCTCGGTTGAAGTGGAGGGATTTTGAATCTAGAATGGTAGCGGATATGGCATACATGCGTTTACATGTGAGGGCCAGGCAAGCCTCAGGCAAGACTGGTAGGTGCGAAATGATTTCTAGAAGCAGCTCGGTGGGCAATTCAAGAAGATGGCATCGTCTGGAGGATTTGACTTCTGCACTCTGCTCCTCGTCCTGATTCCGTGTCCAACGGTTCATTTTGGAAATGATCTTGAGCTTCTCTCCGGCACGACGCAACCCATAGGCCATGTCGATTGCGAGGTTGGAGGATTGACCGCGAAAGGAACCGGAGAATGCCTTTTCCAGTTGCTTCCAGCGTCTCGAAGCTTTCGAATTGTAGTCTGTTAGGTGATATTGGCAAAGACTCATGAGTGAAATGAAAACCAGCTTGCTGCCTGCTGGCTCTGGGGATTCATGGTGTATACAAATACTATGGACGGGCAGACCGCGTGACAAAGGTGCATCATCGAGAGAAGAGAGCAAACCCAAGGGTTAAAAAAGGAGGGCCATGGCAGGTTCAAGTAGTAGTTCCTGGCATACGGGCAGAGTCTTGCACGCAAACGGAGCACGCGCCAGGGTCACAGTGAGGTCGATGTTATCAGCATTACCAGCATTACCTGACGTCGCAGCGGTCTCTCTTCGCTTTTAAGTTTGGGACTATGACCTGAATACCGCATCCATACGATGCACGCCTAATAAGTCTCCTGGTTGATCTTCAGAAAGGGGGTTTTTCATCCATCACGTCTTTCCTCGTCTGGACGAATTCATCGTGCAGTGTCCTTCCGCATTCGGAGAACAAGGTGCCGCATCAGGCGGCGGGTCAGCAAACGGCGGGCGCTCGATCCACGGAAATGATCCATGGCTGCTGATGGCTGGACCGTAAGGGAGGGTGGACAACCGGACATGTCCACTGGACACCTTGGAGGGACGTGAGCGCCATCAAGTGACTCAAATGACTCGTCCTTGGACCGGCATCCCATGACTTGCCGAGGTGCGCTGCCTGAGGCTGCCATTTTAACTAGTTAGTTAACGTAATCAACTACCGAGCCGCGCCTACCACCGAGCCGCGCCCCTTCGATAAAACTTCCTACTTTTTTTATTACTCTTCATTCAACGCGTCATTTCTCTCTCCTATACTAAAATATGCCTCTTTCTCAAGAATCTCGTATTCAGATGGCTAATTCTGCATTTAAAAATGGTCAAATTAAAT